TCAAAGAAAAATTCGATTTTAAAATGATGAAGGGCAAAAATAGACTTTCACAACTATCCAAGATTGTGGGAGTCTTGTGTCATAAAAGGCAATTATCCAAACTTTTGTGAAACAAACATGAACGCCCTTCCGTAATTCACGGGGTAGGCGGAGGGGTAGTTTGACGAAATAGTATTTCTTTTTGATGTAAAGAGATGAAAAAAGACGATATCTCGTCCAAAAGCACGTAAGTCAACAACGCATTGTATTGAGCCAAGGTCAGTAAGGATCTGCGAAGAGAGAAAAATGAATAAACAAAAGTGTAAAAAATACAGTCCATAACTTACCCATGGATCCCCTTTTGTAGGTAGTACTACCGCCTCCACGTCCTCCTCGCACCGGTCTTCCCTGTTGTGTTGCAACAGTAGATGTGTTTTCGCTTCCTTCTGATTCCTCAGTGCCACTCTCTTCTGATGACGATTGCGCACTGTAGCGTAATTTCACATTGCATACATCAATCACGCCGCGGGCTAACTTACTTCAATGGTTCCACTTTGAACTCTCTCTGCTCATATCCATCATCATATTCATCATCATAGACATCATCAGCAGCGGTTTCATAGCGATATTTCTCATAAGAGGGTCGAATCGCCACTTTGTCTGCTTCCGATACTTTGAACTTCTTGATGCCAGCATACCTAGAATAAAACCAGTAAGATTCATCCATTCTAAATAATTAACGCTCAATTACTTCTTTGCATTGGGCATAGGAACTAGTCGTTCGCCATTGACACCGAATTGGGGCTCAAACACATCTTCTACACCAGAGGCACGCAATCTGAGACTTTCTAAGGCTTCTCGGAGTTTCTTCATTACCTGAAATCATGAAAGTAGAATTATTGAAACAAATATATTGAAAATACAAGGTAAATTAAGATAGTAAGTATGAATTATGAAAAATTACCTCACTAACGGGTTTTTCCTTGGGTTCGGTTTTGTTGTCGGCACTTGATGGGGCAGGAATAATGGGAGCTAGACTTATGAGGCCCTAAAGGCGAGAAGATAAAAGACTAAAGTAGAAGGGTGGACAAACAATTAACAAACTTTAAACACATTCTTTCCCTCTGGTTCTTTCGAACTTTGA